CAAGCATCAGTAAGTCATCCAGGGTTGTAAAGTGCTGTTGATGCTCAAAATAGGTCTCTTGGCCAATCCACTGGGCCTTTGGTCTGGCCAACCTTCACCAACAATACTTATGAATGGCAACACATTCTCAGTCTTTCTTCTGTTCTTGTTGTGGTTGTTTGAGCTTATTTTAGTCTGCTGGCCACTGCATCACAATTATGTAGAGCTCATGTGTGCAGTTTTCTCAACAAATTCGTCATGTCTTTCACGTTATCGATTGTCACTCCAGAGAATATTTCTGCCATCATCTGTAGCTTTCCCTGAACATGATTCATCTTGTAGGTAAATCTCATTAAGGCGGTGTCCATGGAGGAATCCTTGCTAGCCTCAAGGAGGCTAACAGTTAATTGTCTGTTTCTATGCGTACTTTTAGGCCAAAAGGTCTGAAAATCTCTTGCAGAGACCCTGAACTCTTTCAGAAAATACCTGGATCTGCACCTTAAGTGCTGTAGGCTGCAGGGCAATGCAGTAGGATGGGATCAGAAAGGACATCTGGGTGTCTTTGGGTCAGCATGGACGAGATAGCCAAATGGCCCCCGCTGTGCTATATTATTTCCATGGTTCCATGGGACCTTTTGGTGACCTCACCCAGAACAGGAATGGAATTCAGATCTCTTGACGTCACTGCATTGCACTAGCCAGGTCCCACTAATATAAATAAAAACCGAAAGAACTGCGGATGCTGTAAATCAGGAACAAAAACAAAGTTGCTGAAAAAGCTCAGCAGGTCTGGCAGCATCTGTGAAGGAAAAAACAGAGTTAATGTTTCGGGTCCGGTGACCCTTCCTCAGAACTGATAGTGGCTGGGAAAACGTCAGTTTATATGCAGAAAATAGGGAGGTGGGTGGGGTAGGGAGTAAACGATAGGATAGAGCCCAAAGACAATTGGACAGACAAAGGGGACAAAAGGCACCTACCATCCCACCAGCATCCACATCCAGAAAATCATCAGACACCATTTCCGCCACCTCCAGCGAGATGCCACCACCAGACACATATTCCCCTCCCCTCCCTTGTCTGCCTTCTGCAGGGAACGTTCCCTCCGGGACACCCTGATCCATACCTCCTTCACCCCCAACACATCCCCACAGCCCTACGGCACCTTCCCCTGTAACAGGCGAAGGTGCAACACCTCGCCATTTACCTCCTCCCTCCCCAGTATCCAAGGGCCCAAACATACCTTCCAGGTGAAGCAACACTTCACCTGCACTTCCCAGAATCTGATCTACTGCATTCGCTGCTCACAATGTGGTCTCCTGTACATTGGGGAAACGAAGCGTAGACTTGGCGACCACTTCGCAGAACATCTACGTTCTGCTCACAAAAAGGACCCTGAACTACCTGTGGCCTGCCACTTTAACGCACCACCCTGCTCCCTGGCCAACATCTCTGTCTCTGGCTTGCTGCAGTGTTCCAGCGAAGCCCAACGCAAGCTGGAGGAACAACACCTCATTTTCCGTTTGGGGACCCTACAACCCTCCAGACTCAATATTGAGTTCAATAATTTTAACTCTCCCATGCCCCAGCCCCCTACCCCACACACCAGGCCTTGTTACCACACAGCCTGCCACTACACACCCCCTGTTGTTAGTCACTAACAGTCCCCATTAACAACTATTCACCCTCCCAGCCTGATCGTTAGCAACTCCTTTGTCTGTCCAACTGTCTTTCTCTCTCTTTGGGCTCTATCCTTTTGTTTACTCCCTACCCCACCCACCTCCCTATTTTCTGCATATAAACTGACGTTTTCCCAGCCACCATCGGTTCTGAGGAAGGGTCACCGAACCCAAAACGTTAACTCTGTTTTTTCCTTCACAGATGCTGCCAGACCTGCTGAGCTTTTCCAGCAACTTTGTCTTTGTTCCCACTAATATAAAAATTTTGTAATTTCTGTAATTCTTCTTTGTTTCTAGGCACGTGGAGCTCCCTTTTTGCTGGCAAATACTAAAGCCGAATCTGGTATGTTCTATTTCTGGAGAGTCTGTCGCACCCACCAACGTGGATTATGATCAGGATTTAAACTCTGCCTTTCACATCAGCCCGGATAACGGCGTTTTGGAGCCGCACCGAGATCAGGAGTTCATCCTCTCTTATTTCCCGCGGGAGGTGAGAAACGTTTGTCTGTCTGCCGTTCTGAGATTTCCAGATCGCTGTTCAAACTTCAGCATTTTCCACATAGAACATAGAACATAGAACATTACAGCGCAGTACAGGCCCTTCGGCCCTCGATGTTGCGCCGACCTGTGAAACCAATCTGAAGCCCATCTAACCGAAACTATTCCATTATCATCCATATGTTTATCCAATGACCATTTAAATGCCCTTAAAGTTGGTGACTCTACTACTGTTGCAGGCAGGGCATTCCACGCCCTTACTACTCTCTG